CTCTCTCTCTCTTTCTCTCCCCGCTTTGTGCGAAAAGTCGTGTCTACATGGCGCCAGGCCGCCACCGGCGGCGCTCCTGTTATTGAATGACGGACAGCAAAATTGTTAGAGAAAGCGGTGGAAACAACGCATCGCCGACCCGGCCCAAAGGGCGACGGGGTTAGGCAGAGGGAGGGAGGGCAATAACTGGGCGCGCTGCCCTCAGCGGCCGTGCAAACGAGCGCCCGATGAGAAGAGATGTCACCCAGCTGCGTTGCGAATATAAATATAACAAGGGATCGTCACGTGAAACAAAAGCTTCCGAGGTCGCCTCGACCGTCCCGCACCACGCCTTAATTTTCCTCTTTTTTTATTTTTGACGCCACAACGTTGTGAAGAAGAGAAAAGAGGAGGGGGGGGGGGGGGGCTGGAAAGGGGCGATTTGCTAAGGGCGGAGCAGCGCCGCCAGAGCTAGAGAAATCTGACGTCGCCGTCCGGGGCATTATATTTGTTTGCATTGTCATGTGCGAGAGGCGCCATGTCAGCGACATGGGAAATTGCTTTCTTTTCTTTTGTGTTGATTCGTCCGACGTCCGGTCTGAGCAGCCCGGGGAAAGTGTTCGGTAAATAAAGGTTCGCCGTGTCACCATGGCGACCGCTAGGGACGGCGTGGCGCTGGAACCATGACGGGAAAGACGTGCGCTCACAAAATATGGATGTCCCGAAAATTGACACTTTCGTTTCCACCATAAAATCGCAACGTTTGGCTCTCAATACAATTTGCACTAACGCGTGTCCCATTCCGTCTCTGTTGCAGGCACAACGATCTGCCCTGGAACATGCGCAAGTACGTGCACAACCAGATGGGCAGCTTCAACTTTTCCAAGCTCGACACGGCCGAGCCCTGGAAGACGAGCAACTGGTCTCACACGGACCTTACAAGACTGAGGACCGGCATGGTTGGAGCTCAGGTAAGACGTGCATGAACAGCCTCCTGTTTTATTAATGAATACGTAAAATTTGAAATGAAAAATTGACCGTGTCAGACGATCTTGCTTGCGCTGAAGTGGCTGCGGTGCGCCAGCGGAACGGACCGTACCGGCCGAATCATTCACCTTCATTGCGCTTGTATGCGACACGTCGCACTACAGGTCGGCCCGCCTCGTTAGTGCCGCTAACGCCCCTCGTGCTCGGATGCGGTGGGGCGCGGCCGTTTGGCTCGCGTCCAGACTCGAAAACAATCCGCAGGCCGTACCGATATCGGCAAACGCGCCGCACCACCGAGAACAGCAGAGGACGAAGGGAGAATTGAGAGGGGAAAAAAGACGCACATTTTCGTTTTTATCATTAGCTCTTTTACTTCACTTCTTTGAGCCAGAGACTGGAATCGGCGCCCGAATGCTGCCCGCTGCTGCCCACTCGTTCACAGCCCGCTCGTTGTCGCCTGTCCGCGCTCGCTCGTCGAGTTTCGCTCACCGAAAGGGCCCCGTTCGCTGGGACGGCGTGGCGGCGGGTGTCGGGTAGGCGAAGTCAGCCCAGCGCCGGTGAAATTAAGAGATGGGTCTACTCTGAACTGCTCGAGCAGCTGATACAGGAGCATAATAATGAGCGAAGTCGTCAATACTAAGATGTCCAACGACGGTTTAAAATTGTTTTTCTATTGCTTGATCTTTCGTCTTTTCTCTGCTTGCAGTTCTGGTCGGCGTACGTGCCTTGTGGAGCTCAGTTCCTCGATGCCGTACAGCTCACGCTGGAGCAAATCGATGTGATCAAGAGACTGGCAGAAATGCACCCTGATTCTCTAAGAATCGCGACCACTGTGAAAGGTAAGCCTGCTTTGAACAGTTGACCGACATCTTTCACTACAGCGATACTCATCGCAACACTAACCATAACGAAGGTCAAAAATACAAATTAGGTGTCAAAAGACTTTTCTCCCCAAAATGAAAACGTTATCAGTGGAAAGGGGCGGCAGCAGGGACAAAGACAGACCGATGAAGGCGGGAGGCAAGGGCTAAATATACGCGAGTCAACTCTAAGTAACTTCGCCCCCTCCCTATCCCTTCCCTCAGCGCGCCCGCCAGCAAGCTTCCTCTTGAGGACAGGAACAAACCACAAGAGTAATATTTCACCCCGTCCACGCCTGCTTCCCGCCCGGCCCGTATGAGCATTTCTGCCGCTGGCTGCGCGGCATCGGGGACAAAGTGCCTGATGATGAGAGTTGTACAGAACTGAGGCTGAGAAACAAAACTGCCCCGGAAAAGAGATGGGGGCTGCTGTGGGCTTGCACTCTCTTACTCTGGCGGAGAAACTTCAGGAAGGACAATGAGGGACGGCTACCCTAAAAACCTGGAGTGACAAGCAACTTGTCGACTTTCGTTCCTGGTGTTGCACACCCGTATTGATGGACGGTAATCTTCTGGAATTCAAAAACTACCCAAAAATATTCTTGATGTGTGGTGGAGTATGATCGGCAGCGTGACTTAAGTCAATTTTCCAACTTCCAATTGGAGAACCTGGAAGTGTCCATTACGTGGGCGACTAAAGTGTCTGATTCTTGGATCGGGCATAGCAGCTCAATCTCTTTTCCGAGCACTGCTCGCTAGGGTTTTCAGCGACCTGATTAATTGCACGAGAACGCACAAGGCTTTCCCCATGTGTGGATTGGATGTGTGGGATGAGTAAGCGAATGTGAACATTTTTTCTTGCCCGGTCGTCGTCGGCTCACTTCCTTTCCCTTTAGCGGAGCGGCGGCGGTCTGTGCACCCCTGTGTACTTCGGGAACTGGGAGCTGTAAGTCAAACTCCTCGCAGCCCAGGAGGCAGATCCATTCTGCTCCTCTGACAGCGCTTCGCGCCCAGGCCTACGCCCCTCCTCGCCTACATTTTGCCGGCCCCTCCCCGACTCGGCCTTACCTGTTATGCGTTTTTTCCAATGCCGCTTCACGCGGGTACAGGCCGCCATGAACCCTCCCCTCCGCTCCTTCCTCTCCATCTATCGGCCCGGCGCCCCTGTGGACTCGTGTTGGGTCTTGCTCCTCTGGTGCCAAGGTGACCTGGGTCGCCTGTCATTTGATAGGAAAGCCATCGGGCGAAAGTCCTTCGCTGTCAATCTCATTTCTTGGGTTACTCCCTCGCTTTCCCAGGGAGCTAGAATCGGGAAAACGAGGGCCTTGCCGCCCTTGCGCCGCAGCCTCGCGTGAGCGTCAGGCATAGCGAAGCCTCTGGTCGCCTGTTCATCGGTGTGAAAATGAAATGCCGGATGGAGAGAGAGTAAGAAAGAGTAGTGGAAGGGAGGCGCCCAGATAGCGATTTAGCAGGGGGCAGATGAGCTAGGCGATTGAGTGTGTGGTGTGCTACTGCGTTCCAGATGGCGTCACTTCTTATAGAGATATGGCCCGCTTCCAATAAGCGCTCATTCTCTTTCCCTTTGCCCCCCTCCCCCCTCTCCATTGCGTCGCACTATATTTTTTCTTGTCGCGCCACCCCTTTCTCATCTGAACCATCTTCCCATCCACTTCTTCTATTTCTCTGTGAATCTGCCGGCGTCGCGTATATTGCGCGCGCTGTATGCCGTTACCCGGGACTTTTTTTTCTCTGCCCCCCCCCCCTTTTTCCTACCGTACCATCTTTTTCAACACCCCGGGGGTGGGTCTTCCCTCTCGTCGGGTACTACTTTGTTTCCGTCACTGTGCCCAGTGAACAAGCCGTGCTTTGTTGGCTAATACAGCGGGAGGAGGGGAAGAGGGGGGAGGGGAAAATCATCCCTTACTGTTGCGCTTTCCTCGACCCTCGGGGAGCCGGCCGGGCCTAGCAGCATACCGCGCTGGCCCCCCTGGGGCCCCCGTGGTAAGCCGCGCAGCCCCCCGGCGTTGCTACCCTCCCCTCCCTCTTCCCGGCACCGCTACTACGCCGCCCAGTCGTCCCCAGGGCCCCGTGCATCAACGTACGGCCAGGCCCTGACCTTTCACAGGGGCCTAAGGACAGCGGCCCAATGCGTTATTCGCAATATGCGTAGCACTACTAGGGGGCCTTGCCCAACCCGGGCAATCTGATGTGCTGTACACCGACCCTGCTGGCAATCCACTATAATCTTATTTGGCAATCCTCAGATGAACAAATCCAAAATCCGTGCCTTTTACCCAACATACAGGGCATGAGATGTGGGTTTTGCTGTATTGTAAGTTACGTCAAAAAGAGTCCAAAAATGTTCCTTAAGAAATGTGGCAACACTGTTAACGCCGTGGTCGCCTAGCATGCCAAAATGTTGGCAGTCTATTTTGACTGCCAAATTTTGGCCTTCTTTTTAGAGGCTGCCAATTTTTGGCCTCCTTGAATGCCAAATTTTGGCCTTCTTTCAAAAGAATGCCAACTTGTGGCATTCAAAGAGACCAAAAGTTGGCAACCTCTAAAAAGGAGGCCAAAATTTGGAGTTCAAAGAGGCCAAAAATTGGCAGCCTCTAAAAAGAAGCCCAAAATTTGGCATTCTAAAAGGACTGCCAACATTTTGGCATTCGAGGCGACCACGGCGTTAACAGTGAAACTTCTGTCTGTCAAGATACTTCGATAAATTTGTAGTTCCTAAAGGGGCGACTTCACTGAATCTGGATTTGTGATAAATTATGATAATATGAACTTTTTATTGCAAAACAACAAGCAATGAAAAGTGTCAAAAAAGTGTGATAAATTTATATCGCAAGGTGAAGCTGAAGCTGTTACGAGAGCTGCTATTGCATTAACTAAAACATGCGATAATAGTAGGGTACTACTAAATTGGGAGTTTTTATCGGAGACGTCAAACTTCGTTTTTACGCGTTTTTCAATGCGCGAACAAAATAGGGGGTGGAAAAATAATTCTCTTTGTTTTGTTTTTCAGTAGGGATCTTGGCTGTACTCTAACCGTGACCGTTGTTTGTTGCAGCAATCCGCGACGCCCACCAGGGTGGGCAGATCGCGTCCCTGATCGGCGTGGAGGGCGGCCACACGCTTGGCAACTCGCTCGCCGTCCTGCGCATGTACTACGGCCTGGGCGCGCGCTACCTCACCCTCACGCACACGTGCGACACGCCGTGGTGAGTTTGCTGCTCTATTGTGGTGTGCACCATGCGGGGGAGAAGTTTACATATGATGCGAGGGCAAACATTATTCTACGCTACGCCTCGTTCTTTGCCCTAAATGTTTTCTGCGGGGAGTAAACGCAAGATTTGCAATAGGACGAACGCTAGTGTACATTCCAATTTTCTAAACGCATCCGCACTAGATTGAAGTTGTTTTTTTCTTTTGGTTTGACAATGCAAAAACAGTTGTTTATTCGGACGGCATTTAATCATCGCAGACTTTGTAGCTCGTTAAGGTCCAGCCGCGCGACACTGTTCCTCAGGCCCTTGTCCATCCCCAGAGCAGCCGCAACAAAACGAGTGAGGAGGGGGAGGGCGGGCTTGACTGTGCGGAGACAAGGGGAAGCCGCGGTTTCTCGCGCGGGTGCGGTACGGCAGGGTGCGGTCAGGCCGGGGGAAAAGGGAAAGGGGAGGGGGAGATCACGAGGTGCTGCGCGACCGAGAAAGAGAAGAGAAAAGCTTTCTGCGGGAAATGTTTTTGCGGTGTGGCCGCTGGAGGGGCGGGGGGTAAAGTTGCGCCACAAAACTTGCGCATTTACACGCGAGAAGTTTTTGTCCGAATGATAGACACAACAACTCTCCTCTCGCCCCCTCTGCTCGTCCCGCGGCGGTCGGGCTGAAGTGGTACACTGCCGAGATTAGAGTGGGTCGTGAGGCCCGGTGGTGGTGGTGGTGGTGGGGGGGGGGAGTGAGCCGACCCCTTCGGCCGCTGCTCGCGAGTAGGTCGCCGCGGTCGCCGCCGCCCCTGTGTGGAGTGTTTGCGTTTGTCGGGGCGTGCGACGAGCATCCCTGATGCTGTTGGTGCTGCCTGCCTGGCGCTGCTGCTGGCGCCGGTGCCCCGCGCACCTTGACAGTCTGCTCCCTCTGCAGCAGACCGCAGCGGGCGGGCGGGACGGGGTGTAATTGTCGCAAACCTGTCAGAGACTACCCTACTCCTGGTAGCGA